CTGAGGCTTGGTCGGCGAGCTCACGTTCCTGGTTGCTGAGAAAGGGCAAGGAAATGGTTGTGCTCAGGAGTCGCCTTTACAAACACCCTCATATGCAAAAAGCACAAGGGAAAGGAAGACAAACAGTGGGAAGTGTTTTTTCGGGCCAGGTTTTTTGTACCCCTACAGTTGCAACTTGGTTTACTGGAAAACCCTACCCCCTTGTTGTCTATATAAACCTACGTTTGCCATTGCATATCGACGCATATATGGGTGCTTCTTTTGGGGGGACCCGCAAAAATTGTTGGCTGTCCTTTTGGTTTCGTTTTAAAACCAACCAAAAGAGGGTTCCCGGACTCCCCAAACACAACAAACCCCTTTGCGTACACTCACAAAGAAGTATGTCTTTGCAAGCGTGATGTTTTTGGTGGCGGCCCCCTTGAGTCGTGGGACCTTTTGGCTGAGCTTGTGCGCAGTGCTTAGAGAATAAGCATGGCCAAGAAGTTGGCGCCAAGATATACCCTCCTGTTCAAGCCATGCAACCCACGTCCATGTTAAAGGAAAGTGGTGCAAACCAGGATCCCTCGGACAGGTTCCATGGCAACTTGGACAGGAAGATATAAACGATCTTGCGGTTGGAAAAAGCGCGCACGAGCCACAACCCTGGCGCAATCGTGTGTTTGATGCGATGTTGCGTGTGGCTAGATGGTGTCAGACTGGGACTTGTTTTCCACCCTTGACGTCGGGATCTTCAACGACAGCTCTCCTGCATCGGCGGTGGGAATCCGTTAAGTCTACAAATTCATCAGCCCAAAACGAAACCTGTTGGGTAGTACGTTTGGTTTGCTTCCGGATACGTGAACCATACGAGTGGGGAAAGGCCCCTTTCGTGGAGGACCTTAACAAGATCAACATTGCCGCCCAAACTGACATGCACGGTTGGTCAGGGACCCCTGGCATGATTTCATGGCACTCTCCAGCCTTGGAACTTGTCCGCTTCCATAACTCTTGGAAAAAGGGAAATGGGTGGAAGGTGACCTTCTCAAAATCATCCTCCAAATGGTAGTTTCAAGGGCAACCATCCCTTAAAAATACACAAATGATAGGACCTGAAAAGGCCACCAGGGCCGCCCTGGTTCTGGACTGCAAGCTCGACCCCCGAACATCTGAGCACAGCACCTCCATGGCCATGACGCCGCAACCGTGGCGAGGTCAGATAAACCAAAATGGTGGACCTCCACAATGGGTTTGGTGTCCTTTAGCCCCCTTCAAAACACTCAAACCTGGCGTTCAAAACTGGGTTGCCCACGAAACTGGTTGGCATCCAAACGGGTTAGCGCCACACTCTGCGATCGGCATGCGTCCCTGCAGGCGGCAACTGTTGCATCGGCGAGCTGAAGTTTTGGGCACTTGCGTGGATACGTGGAACTTGTGATTTGGCGCATTGCTGCGAACTGCAGATCCTTTCCAGCTTGAAATTGAAATAATTCTGGCGGGCATGGACATCACCGTCCAAGCATGACGGTCCAGACATGTCATATGTCACATCTGTTGCGCGAACCCCACACCTCTGCGAAGACAAACATGAGCAATAAAGAAAGGTGCCGAGTGAGCTGAAAGCGCAACAAGCCGCGAGCTAAGGGACGTCCGTACATCGTACATGGCACAATGGGCGATGACCTTTCCTATGATTGGATGAAAGACAAACCAAAGCCTGCCTTTTGGCCCCTGGTTTTTCTGCTAGCTGCGGGCAAGACGACCCGAAGTGACACAAGGTCGGCCAACAAAATTGGACTTGCATGGGAAGTGGGGCATGTGGGAAATAGGGCCGCAGTTGGAAGGGATTCTGGAACGGTCTGGCGTTCACGATGCTTTTCCAACGAAGCCGGGAATGAGGTAGTCTGGTCCACCGGTAAGCTCAGGCTCAGTCACCCATCTCAAGTGTGAAAAACCCAGGGGGCCCTACAAAAGACGAAAGGGTGGCAAGGGTGTGATTCCGCATGCACAGCGGGGCATCAGTTGACACCTGAATCGCACGAGCTAAACACCCTTCTCAGCCGAGGACCGCTGGGCGTCCTCAATGTGAAGGTCTCATCGTAGGCCACGCTCCACAAGTTGCTCTTGAGGTACTTCAGGAGCCCGACGGCCAAGTCATAGTCGCTGGCCACGCATCGGCTCTGCTTTGGTTCGCAGCAGCGTTTCTCGAAGTTGAACTGCTTGAGGAGCGGCACGGGTGCTGCTCAGGCCCAACATCGGCGACTCGTTGCAGGTCAGCGGGCAATATCCTCCTTTCGAATCTGTGGCCAGGAGGCCTGTCACGTTTTGTGCCAGAGGTTCGCCCCAGTCAACGCGATCTTCTCGAAGATCCATCCCATCTGGTGTCCGCAGCCAGTCATCTTGGACCAGAGCATGCGACGGTTCCGACCCTCGCTCCAGGATGGCTTGGACCTCTGCGTCGTTTGACGAGATTGCCTCGTTTCAACCTCCAGCTTTGCCATGCCAGAGGAGCCATGAAGGTGACGCGGCCTTGAGCTGCCCCCGGGCCACATGGAGATGAGGCCCTGCGTGGAGTGCTGGTTGTTCGTGTTGGTGTGAGCTTGGTCGCAGTAGGTGATGAAGACCTCCGGATCTCCCCAACCATCTGTTGCAGCTCACGGGCAGTCAGCATGGAGCGCTTGGTCGTGATCTCCAAACCGGTGGGGTTGCACCTTGTACTCAATTGCGGCCGTGTTTGAAGTGCCAACCACGGCAAGCTGCCCCAGGTTGCTCTGCGTGCTGCCGAGGTCAGAGTCGCAGATTCCAAGCGAACTCAGCCTGGAGGGAGGTCCACAGCAATGACGGAGCCGATGTAGACGTGGTGAGGTGTGTGCCGGCATGACGGTAGTTACCAGCTTGTCGATCTTGTCGCGGATGGCGAGCCACTCCTCAGAGTTGGTGTTGCCTGGAAGTCGTCCACGTGGCCACCCATGATGCCAATGACATCCGGCACGCCATAGCGGTCCTTGTGCATCTCGGACAGCAAGATCCAGATGCACCTTTCTCAGCCAGTGGAGTCTCGGTGCTGTTGCGCTGCCGTAGATGTTCTTCAAGATCTTGATGATGCCGTCGGGACCCAAGCCCATTGCCTCAGCCTCCGTCGGCTGAGTCTGCAGAAAGGCGTACACAGGCTATCATGTAGAGGAGGTTCCGGCCAAGACTGGATTGCACAGGGCTAGCAGTCTTGAACTCGGGTCGACGCAGGTCGGGGCGCTCGTAGCCCAGCAGGCCGATTCGGGCCTTCGATTCGGGCCTTCGCTTTCTTGTCGCCTTTCAGGGTGTAGGTGGGCTTGCTGCTGTGAGCGGCTTTCTCCTTGGCCCTCGGGAGGAGGAGCCGAAAGCCTTCTTGATTTGCTTGGTGTTGAGGGCTTTCCGCACTGCAACAGGCTGCTCACCTCCTTGGCCTTGGCGGGCATTGACACCAATACTTCACTGTCTCGCATCTTCTTGACGAGGATGGCGGATGCATCGCGCTGAAGTTCCTTCTCCTGGCGATGAGACATGAGGTCCAGGCCCAGCTCCATCACCATCTGCTCGATGTTCAGGGCGTTGTCTGGGTCGTCATCCAAGCGAGGCTTCTTTCGGCCAGGACCACATTTGGTGGAGATCTGGGCAATGAGCCCGCTTCCTCAACATCAGGAATGACGATGTCAGGATCCAGTGTTTCAGCTGGAGTGGAAGATGCTGCTGGATTGGATGGTAATGCGTGAGGATCCGCTGGTAGTTCCTGATCATCAGATTGTAGTTCTTGAGGATCATCCAATGTCGGCCAAGGTCATCTCATCCAGAGGTTGCGTGGTCCACTGGGCCACAGGAATGCGATGTTGTCATCCACTAGGATGCCAAAGTGCTTGGTCTCCTGCTTGATGCCATTCTGCGGATGAAGGAGCTCGTGTTCTCGTGAGGCTGGCGGCGGAAGTTGAAGTACTCAGCGCAGATCCCCGCCGTGTTCGGAAGGCTCTGCTTGGCCGCCAGCTTGCGAAGCAGATCCTTCGTGCCATCCGGGCTGTCGAAGATGTAGAGCGGCCAGGACATAGCCAAAAGCCGAGCAGGGCCGGAGAGTATGCTTACCAAGCGTGCGGCGCAGTAGCGTCTCTTGTGACGTGGGATGCTCTGCGCCCACCAGGCGACCTCACGAGTGTATCGTCGCCAAGTCTTTGCTGATCCATCCCACTGCGGGATGGGGCCATCTCTGTCCATGGTCGCCCAGGAAGAGGGACAGGGGAACAAAAAGGGCGCACCGACCTCAACGTCGCTTCGCAAAGAGATCCAAGCGTCAACTGCCGCCAGGTGATCTCCCAGTGCGATCAAAACCGTGGCCATGTGAGTCGCGCCAAAGGTAGCGGGTCCAGGATCACAACCTCGCTCCGCTGCGAATGCAACGGTCTGGCGTTCATGGTGCTTTTCCAACGAAGCAGGGATAAGGTGGTCTGGTTCACTGGGAAGCTCAGGCTCGGTCGGCCATCTCAAGTGTGAATTACGCAAGGGGCCCCTACAAGGAGCCGAAAGGGTGGCAAGGGCAAATGTGATTCCGTATGGACAGCGGGGCATCGGTTGACACCTGAATCGCAGATTTCCTTACCACGCTTCTGGGTGTCAACCAAACAAAGAAAACAATCCAGGCCCAAGCAAGAGGGACCTTGGGTGAGTCTTTGTTTCCCCAGGCCGGCTGCACGTCCCTCTCCGCTGGCCAAGAGGCGTTTTGTCCAGTTGCGTCAGGCGTGCTGCACACTTTCGCCGTGGGCCATGCGTCAAAAGCCAAGCATCTCCGGAAGAGCAATCTGCAACGCCACTGTTGGCTGTTCACTCCCTGAAAAAAGTGAAAGATGCAAGAGGAACCAGGAACCCTGAAAGGATTCGACTGCCACGGCTTTTCGTTTTGACACATGGCGCAGGCTTAGGGCCGATCGGGTCACTCTTGGAACCTCTGGAGGGCCTACCTCAAACTGGTTTATTCCTGGTGCTCGTGAGCCCCATCTTTGTGTTTCGGGTTCAAGCAGGCCCGATGTGAGCCCCGGTCAAAGGGATTCCGGATATGACACACATGGGTATGCCTCCCTCTCACGTTGCGCGCTCGCCTGGGGTGCGCCAAGCGGGACGGGTTTGGATACCCCCTAAATATATTCCACCGCAGCCACTATTCAACGGACAGGCGACCTTTTCGGGTTGCTTTCACCGGAAATCAACAGGAAAACCACAATTTTGTCCCCCCCCCCCCAACCCATTTTAAGAGCATCCTCTTGGTATTCCTTTGAAAAGGCTCACGGTCTCCTTTTTGGGTAATGCCGCCCTCCCTCAGGCATCCATCACTCAGCTGATGGCTCCATCAGTTGAACTGGATTCTCTTCCAGGGCAATGCCTTGACGGAGGGCCATCAAATGATCCCCCGAAGCAAAGCAGGGAACGCGCAATTGATCCCGTGATTTGCCATGGTGTATGGTTGGTCCACACGACCTTAAGGGCCAATCGCTCCAGTGCACTTCAACTACTCCCGTGTTCAGGTTGGATGACTGCCCATCCTCCAAGGCCAACGGTCATGGCCTCCCTTTGGCCCATTGAACCCCTCGGGGCTTTTGGATGCAAGTCCCCGGGCAGCACCAACAACTCTTGCGGAGCACATGGGCACATGTACAACGCACAGCCCCTTGGGGAAATCTTGTGTTTTCGACCTTCACAAGGCTTCCATGAAGAACCAAACGCATCAAGGGCCTTGGGTTTCCCTGCTGGGTACATGGCACATTCAACCCCCGCGGATTCTTTTTGCGCGCCTCCCGAATTTCTTCGGCGCATTTGCATCTAGTGCCTGGCATCCAAACCCCCTGTTCCGTTTGGTGCATGCCAAACACAAGCGACTTGGGTCCCGAAGTTGCAAGGGCCGGCCAGTCCATGTTGCTTGGGTAACACCCATATCAAGGGGCATATGTTGCTACTTCCAGGTAAACAGCTGCGGAAGTTCCACTTGCTAAACAATGCAAAACGCAAAGTAGCTATGCTCACGTCCAACTCAAACCAGCAGGAAGCACGCAGAACCACGGAAAAAAGCAAAAAAAAAGAGTCCCCCCAACCAGCCAAGCAAAACATGATGAGCAGCCACCAGAAGCCCGAGCTGACTTCTGGTTCTACCAACATGGATACAAGGCGATATGCAGCCACTATCACGCCCCCCCAAACTAGGCTCCGTGTAATTACTCACTCAAATGGCGACATGGAATCGGATCTGAGCGCTGCTCACATAGGTAGCTTGCTTTCACGGATTTGCTTGTATGATTCTGGGGATGCGTCTTAATCTGCAGAGCGATGCTTGGAGAAACAAAAAAAACGAACGCAGCAGGCTGCATATCCCGTTTCCCGGACGCCCAAAACGTTTCAGCGAACGTGGAACTCTCCTTTGGGGGTTCAACAAACTTTTGCTGACGCCGACGGAAAAGTCGAGTGCAAAATGCGGAAGAATTGCGGAAGAATTGGCAGTAATTGGCAGTCAGGGGCCTCACTGCCATCCATGACTGTTGGAATTAGGGGGCTGTGCGACATGAACCATACCCTAGGCCCAGCATGAAATCAGGTTACCCTGAATGCGTTGTTTGGATTGGTGGTTGGGGGATTCGAACACCCCTAAGCTCCAAACCACCAATCCAGACCATCAACTAGAGGGAAGCTGATGAAAAGAATACCCTTCGGTGACCTGGGCGAGCAAATCCCTCTCATGTCATCTTCCACCTGGGATAAGTCTAGAGTGACCTCTTTCAGGTGAACGGTGAACGACGCGAACCCCACTCCACGGTTTGATCTTGACCCGAGGCTTCGAATTTTCTGTAGGGGTCATCTTGGGATCAAACGAGCAGGATCTACTTCTAAACGACATCGGGTGAACAGCATGCTTCAGCCAGTCCACGGGAAGCTGCATGGTTGCCCTCACGAGTTTCGGCAGTTAAGGGCCTGAAAGCTCTAAACCAAAAATTGTCATTATAAGAGTGAATTCGAATGGCCCCCTCCAAACAAAAAAAATATGTGGTGGTGCTCCTTTTTGTTCCCTGAAAACAAGAAGAAGAAGAAGACAAAAAAGCCACAAAAGATGGGTGCCCTCAAAAAAAGACAGACCCACATCAACTTCCACATCCCCCGCCGATCCCGCCTCGCGCCGTGGCCGTGACGCTCGTGGTGCTGAGCGATACGAAAGCCAAGCGACTTCGCGACTTCGAGCGTGCCGAACTCACTGAAGTACCCTTCCTCCCACTCACCTAGCGTTTGTACCAGGATACCTGGAAATTGACTCATTTCCTCTTTAAGGGAGCCTCTGTGAGGTGCCGTGTTAGGGGAATGGAGGGTAATTAAAACCAAAAGCGAAGACCCTCATCAGCAGATGGGCCCCAACAACCACATTTTCAGCCATGTCCAAACCCCGCACCGTCCACAAAGCAGTTGGGGGGTCCTAACATGTAACAGGAAAACTTCATTGAGTTGATGGTTCAGTAGGTGGCCCTTCCTTTGGTCACGATGGTGATCAATTCTGCCCTGGGAGAGCAACATGGCCCCAAGTGGTACTTTTTGTTGGTCACATCGGAAGTTGCTTCCTCCGGGGATTTGGACATGCAAAAAACATGGATGCCATTTTTCGTGATACCGTCGAGTTTTCTCATCCAGGCAAAACTGCGCAAGAAAAGGGTTCCAAGGCCATCTAAACAGCCATGTAAACCAAGGCTGGCCCTACCCGGTTGGATGGCTCAGTTTCGCCTGTGTGTGGGAGGTTCCAACACACCCCCAGATTCCTCCACGAAAATCGGACTCCGCGCCTCGTGCACCTCGTGCTCGAAATGCTTCTGGCGCCAACGGTGCATCGAATTTCCGAGACGGGTCTCGCCAGAAAATCTGACATTCAGTGGGGCACCCTATGGACATCATGTAAACTTTGCACCCAAAGCCAGACAAAACCGCCCTGGAGAATGCACAAATCCGCACGGTAATGGTCAATTCCAAAGGGCTCCACTGACCCTCCACCCCTGAAACTACTACCACGGCACAATGGCAGGTATGTAGCAATATGCGTGAACGTGCTTGACGAAGATGATATCTAATCTGTGAGGAGTCAACATCGGCTTGTCTTTCCAAGATTTGAAGCTTGCGACGGCGATGTCCATCCTCAAGACCACGAAAGAAGGGCAGACCGCAGGATCGGGCCTGCGGGCAAAACTTTTTTGGGGACGCCTGGGCTATATACATAGAATACATTTGTATAGATACCAACATATACGCAAAAGGTGTGTACTTCAGTTTGGCTCTAATGGGAACCCAGGATTATACGCCAGGTTTATATCAATCCAACTAGAAATGAGCCGAAACCCTCTAAGATCCATCATGTTTCCCCAAAACAGCTACCCCAAAGAAGATGTATATAACAAAGCGGCAACCATGAAACATCTCGTCCGCTTCCCTCCTGGCACCAAGGAGCCATGGCCATCCGACTCCCTTCCCTCCTTCTCCAGGCTCCACGTGACGTAAGCACTGAGCCTTGCGGCGAGTCATGTTAAAAATCGGCCGGAAGGATATGGGTGTCTCTCTTTGCAAAACCGGGGATTGTGAAATTGCACGTGTTTTTGTGAATTTGAGGTTTGAGATCTTGAGCAAGTTGTACGCATGCCTTGCTGATTGAGTGTTTGCAACTGGTTCGGAACACTCAGTGCGATTCTCCACATGGCTGATTGTGACATCTGCCAGTTGCGGCTGCTCATTCAAGCCAAAGTAGCTGCTATTAGAATCTTCCCATTCGTCCCTGTTTGGCATTACTATGTGGCCCGTGCTGTGAGTTTTGCAGAGCAAACGGATGGCGAGGATGGAAAGCTCACCTTCCAAGAAGCAATTGCACCAACAGTTTCCCACATGAGCACGTGTCCTTCAACAAATCTTGTAAGGAAAGACGAGCTGGTTGGGTCTTCTAATATGCTTGCCCCACAAGAGGAATCAAAACCAATAGAAAGTCAAGGAAAATGCAAGGTCTGCTCTGTTGGTTTGCAAGTTTGAATTGCAAGGCTTGTATTCAATGAGAGTTCTTATGTTTAATTAGTCTCTACATAGGAATTATGTCCAAGTAGGATTCTACTTTAGATTGAGTGAAAAATGAAATGGAACTTAATGAGGAATGACAAGCTGATTGTGCCTTAGAATTTGCCTGCCCCTTACAAGGAGTGAAAAAACTGTAGAAAGTCAAGGAAAACATGCAGTTGTATTTGTGTGCAAAATTTAAATTGCAAGGCTTTAAGTTTAAATAGGTGTTTGAATAGCAACGTGTCTCCAAGTAGTAGGAGTTGAGAATGAATTTGATTGGAATGCGAATGGAATCCAATAAAACACAACGGAGACCCACCAAACACAACAAAAAGGAAAACAAACTCCAGAAAACCAACAAGTGAAAAACAAAGACAAGCTCGATCAAACTAAAACCAACAACAAACTCAAGAAGATCAAAGAAATGGCAAACACTCAAAAACAAAAACAAAAACAAAACAAAAAACATAAAACAACAAAAACAAAAAAACTTGAGACAACAACATAAAAACACAAGAACTAAAAACAAAACTTGAGCAAACCACAAAACTGCTTCAAGAACTCGTTCAACCTAAGTTCTTCCACAAAGAGTGTCCAAAAATGTGGTTTGGTCTTGCTCTCTGTAATTTGTTTGTTCTCTCGCGTTCTTATTTTGTGTTTCGCTGTTCTCAAGGTTCTTTGTTTTCTCTAATCTAGCTTGGTTTTGCCTGCATTTGTCAAGATGTGTGCAACGGGAAGACCGGAAGCATCCACAAGCACGCTGTACCAGAAGCCCCTTTGTCTGCTCTTTTGGGATGTGATTTGTCCCGCTTCGGTTTGGACATCAAAAACTTCGGTAGGTCCGCTTCATGTCCACCCAATTCGTAACCATATGGAAAACTCTAGAGCCAGGCCAAACACCCAAATCAGCCGCTCAAACCAGGGTGTACGCCTCAAGCCCGGCCGAGAAAAAGAAAGCAAACGGCTAACCCAATTGAGCGTGAGAAAGGTACCAGAAGAATTTGCAAGAATGGGAGGTGCACTACTTGCCAGGGTGGGAAGTCTGCAACAACAAAAAACGACGTGTAGCTCATCAAACAAAAATCAAAGAACTGAGGACACAAATCCAGTACCCTTCAAGTGCTTCAACGGATTCTTTTGGGAGTCCAAAAACATGCCCTCTCAAAAATGAAAAGGAGGATCAAAACCCAACCAGGGCACAATGCGCAGGAAATTCACCTAGCCCGAAAGCTGATGCTCAACACAACTGGTGTGTCCATTCTAGTGGGGTACCGTTCTCTTGACACATTCCCATATGGGTGTTTCTCAAGACAGGACTTTTTGGGAGGGGTTCAGGGAAAGCCAAAAGGAGATCAACCTGAAGGCATCCTTGTTGAGTAACACCCCTATACACACACAAATAGATATATACATAAATGTGTGTATATATATATATACATATATGCCTATGTCCACCGGCCCGTTTGGCTTCCCCTTAAATACCACGCCATTCTTAGAGATGAATGGACCAGTATGAAAGTCATCATGGGTTTCTCTCAAAACAGGGGACACACAAACTTGGTGGTGTCGCTTTGGCTCCCATTTACAAGATAACCCAAGAAAGTGTACACATGTGTCTCATAAAATTAGGCACTGGTAGCTGGTGTCCATGTGGTGGCTCTTTCGAACCATACCAAAAGGGCTACATGGGTGTGTCTTTTATTGGGGAATCCCCCAGAATGGCTTCAGCTTTCCTTGTGGCTATAAATCAGGTAGCCTCAGAAAAAGACAGACCTTGCGTGTTTTGACCTTTTGGAAAACAGGATGGGTTTCCCGGGTAAATGGATGGCATATAACCCATCTAAACCAGTGGGAGCCCACCCATTTCTGCCAAACCACCCCATCAAAAAGACACCTCTGGTGACCCCTGGCGTCAAAACTTGGTTTTTCCCCAAACTTGCTGGTTCGATAGGCAGGGAATGAGAAATGGAATGACCCCGCCAAAAAAAAAAAAAACTATCCATCCGATTTGGTCCCTATTCATTCGCAACACCTGGACTCGGTCATTCCCTCTCGCACCAGTAACAAAAAGGTGATCACCGTTTGGACAAAAACTGGAAACAAAAGAAGGTCAAAAGCTCGTAAGAAGCGGAGTCTGTCTGTTTTTTGGGGGAATCCCTCCCCCAAAAAGAAAACGCATGACATGGGTTCCTTTTGGCTGGACCCGAAAGGTGCGAAGCGGGTCCCCCCACAACGCGGCGCTGGAGGCCATGAAGCCCAGGGCGCACCTCGATCCGCGGAGCGGAGCGGAGGGTCCTGGGGATTTGGTTGGCTCCGGGGTTGCCACCCCTCGTGTTCTCCAGCGAAAACCTGAATAGATTTTCATCATTTAAAAAAAAAACGGGCCTCTTTTTTTTGGCTCCCATGGAGCCTGAGCCGCACCTCAGAAGCCCCGCGAAAGTCCTTAGCCCCACTGAAAAGTTCCAACGACTGAGCTGGGCCTTCGAGCTGAGGCCACATGTTACGTCGCCTTTAGAGAGCCGCCAATCTAGCCAGGCACCAGGAACATCATTTTGACCCCATATTAATCAACCCCAGTAAACAATTTGGGGGTTGTTGGAGGAGAACACCCCCCTTTTAAATACACTGGGGTTGATTGATATATTTCACACTATCACCAGTGTGAAGCTTCCTGAAGATTGGCGACGACGATGTTTGATCCTGAGGGAATGTTGCAGGATGTCATCCACATACAACTTTTCTGGGCTGGCCTAAACCCGTGAGGTCTGGTGAGGTCAGGAGCGTTCCTCCAGGGAGCCCCAAAGAAAGGGGTCGTTTCCTAGAACCGTGAAAGACTCTCCGACAAGGGTAAACCATGAAAAACCTTCAAGGAACCATTTTTTCTTCTACCATGCTCTCACAGAACTCTTGGGTGCTCCTGTGGTTTGTCTTAGCCAAATTTGGATACCAGCTCGGCGTCCAGCTCCCTTCAAACCAGCAGTTCTCGGAAGCCGTGGATAGTAAACCATTTGTTCAGACCCCCCGCGTAGGATGTCTTTCTTTGGGCCCAAATAGGTTTGCCCCCTGTGTCTTGTACATGGGGAAGCCATCCCGGAACTCAGCCAAAGAGGAAAACGGGAAAGCCCTTGCGCCATTTTGGGGCTCCGTGCCAAAACAAGGCCCCTCCCCCACAAAGTCTTGTGGAAGCCAGCCCCATGAAGGACTGCCAAACCTCCCCCCCAAGTTGATTATATATATATATATATTTGATTCATACATTTCAGGGGACATCTGGACAAAATGGGAAAGGGCGCCCCAAAAGTGGCAGCCTTCTTTTTCTCCCCCGGCAGAATCTTTTTCAATCGATGGGGTTGAGTCTTTGTTCTGTTCTCTTCGACCATGGAAAGGGGAGGTCATTGGTTTGAGGGGGGCTTATTGCTCTCCCACAAACAAAACTCGGATGTGCCTAAAGCTTCCTTGTTGGAAGACTAACAGGACTCAACCCCCAGGAAACCCCCTTCGGGAACAAGGAACCCCTGTAGATTCCCGTGGTTTCACTGGTTGGTTTCCTTTTGAACCACAATAGGCGGGTTTCCTTTTGGTTTCCAAGGAATCCGAGCCGAACTGCGAAATCCGAAGTCTCCGGCGAGCCGCACGAGCAGAGCCGAGCCGGGCGCCCGGGCGTCTTGAGCCCCGCCTTGGCCTGCGCCAAGGCCTCATCCGGATTGCTCGGGGCCTCGGACGCGGGCAAGGAATGAACACGGGGGGTCCAAAGACGCCCAAGGAACATGCGTACATGTAAATAATGGTTATAATCATAATTATGAATCTATAATAAATGCACAATGGTAATAATATTACACAAAAATAAAGTATAATAGCGATATATGATACATTCACATACACTTATATAGTTTAATATATATAGAGAGAGAGAGAGAAAAAAAATGCATATAAGGAAACCGAGATAAATAAGGTGTGATCTGGAGTGTGGTCATTGCTGTGTGGCTTTTGAGGCTCAGATTCCTTGGAAACCAAGAGGAAAACCGCTTGTTGTCGTTCAAAAGTAAACCAACCACAAAAACGCGGGAATTTGCAGGGTGTTCTTGTTCTTGAAGGGGCTTATTGGGGGTTGAGCAAGGAAGCTCTAGGCACATCCGAGTTTTTGTTTGTGGGAGAGTAATAAGCCCCTCAAACCAATGACCTCCCCTTTCCGTGGTCGAAGAGAACAGAACAAAGACTCAACCCCATCGATTGAAAAAAAAATCTGCCGGGGGGGACCAAAAAAGCGGCTGCCTGTTTTGGGGTCCCTTTCGCATTTTGTCCAGATGTCCCCTCAAATGTGCTAGTCAACCATGAGTTATAAATCAACTGAGTGTAGATGTGTGTGTGTGTGTATGTTTTTTGAGGCTACTTCCTGGGGTTGGGTTGAACGGACTTTGGTGGGGAGGGTCGCCTTGTGTTGACGCCATGTCTTCGGACCCCAAACGACTCCGAGGTTCATATCTTGGCTTCCCCGTTAAAACCACAAACAAGGGGCGCCCTCAGAACAAGACACACCCACCGGGAAATCAGCCTGAAACGTAGGGTCAAGCGACGGCTCACAATTACGAGTTCGAAAAAGAATTATAGAGGGAAAAAACAGGGTGAGCTTGCCATAAAATGAGCTTGCCTTTCCCCACCAAAAAAACAAAGAAACCAAAACAAACAAAACTAAGAGCCCTCAAAACCAAGACTTCCGTTTCTTTGCAGCCCACTAAAACTGAACAGAACTAAAAGCTTAGAGCCCTTCAACTAAGAGCCAACCCGTGAGGTTACCCCAACCCCGGGCGCATGGCCAAAGCTCGGCGAAGCGAAGCCTGAGGCCACGGGCCGCGCCATGCCCGTGGCCGCCGAAGCTGGTGGGCCTTGGAACACGAAACATCTGCCACGCATATATTTGTGTAAACCTATATATATAATATATATATATATATACACACGCGTGTATCACAAGTGATATGTATATGATTGTATATGTGTATGTGTATATGTGGAGGGGGAGAGAGAAAGAGCGAGAGAGAGTGAGAGATTACATCTCCTCCAAGATTCAGGTGTCTTACACGATTGTTGCAATGCGATCGGTGCTTCATACCCTTGGACAAGCATTGATCATGGCCACATGCCCAGGAGACGCAATAACAAACAAACACACAAACAAACAAGCCAGCAAGCCAGCAAGCAAACAAACAAACAAAACGAACGACTTGCCAGGAGACAAGTCTTGCAGCTCCATCTATCTGGCAAAGCGGGCGTATTCCACGTTGGTTGGTTGCAACTATTTAGCATTTTGGCGAAAAACACGGTTGGAGCCCCATAGGCATTTCAAGCACACATCACAAAACGCCGAAACCTACTTTTGCACTTGTTCGATTTCAGGGACCTCAGTCCCGGCGCGCGTCTTCCAGCATGCCCCGTTCAATGTCAAAGAGCTTCATCTGTCTGTCAACTGCGGATCTCCCGCCCCAGTTTGAGTCGTTGCCCCAAAGCCGAAGCGCGTTCCTTGCGTTCCGGGTCACGCAAGTACGAATCTTCGTGGTGTCCTTGTCCCCTTACTTGCAACGTTTTAGGCACCGTAACCTGAGCTGACGACTGCAGACGCCCGTGCCTCGTAAGCTCACGTGATTAGACTGGCTCCTTCCGAGTCAGGCAGACCTTGCCTCGATGGTTTAAGTGGCAAAGGGCACAGCGCAGTCTATTGCAGAGAACCGTACGAGTCTCGTCCGGAGTCTCCATGAGTCTCTGGGTATCTGGGCGTGTTGGTCCAGCGACCTATGTTGCCACCCCATCTTGCGATCGCCTGCACGGCGAGGCGCTCCAACCGGCGCTCCAACAGGTCGGGAGTTGCGAGAAATCAAGCCGCATTTTTTATCAACGCACAGCACCTACAAAAAGGCAAACCCGGTTCTTGGCACCAAGAAATCATCAAATACGAGGGCCAGGCTCGAAGCTGCTCGGAGCCTGGCGAGAGCTGTTCCGGCTGGGGAGGGCGGGGGAGGGGGGTAGGGTCAACTTCAGGGTACCACACAAAAAAAGGGGGCTCGCCAAGTTGCAAATGGTCACACCACATGCTTTTTGCTTTTTCGGGACCATTTGGGTGGATTCCGCAGACCTTTCCTGCGACGCCATTGAGTGGCTCCTATCCCTACCGAATGTCACAAGACAAAAAGGGGATTCGCAAAAGGCGATCCACGGAACCCTAATGGCGACAAGGTCAGAACAAAATGAAGAAGAGACAGAGAAGAGCTCGAGGACTTTCCCTTGCGAGCCCACTACCCTTTTGCTTGAGTCACAAACAGGGTCTCCAAATAGAGGAAAGCGACGGCTTCGCTTTCAGACAGCCCCAAGGAGACCGAGCCAAAGACAGACCGAAACGCTCGCTGCGCAAGAAAATCATGGCCCACTGGCCTGGTGATTTTTTCTCCAGGCCGCCAAAGATGGAAACAAAAGAAACCCCACGAATTGGCTCCCGATTTGTTGGGCAACTGTCCGCACTTTGAGGCTGGCGAAAAGTCCCACGTTGACCCCTCGGCAAAAGCTTGACTTGTGGTTCAATGGAAAATCGTCTGTATCCCAAAACGTCAAAGTCCAAAGATCCAACCAAATAGCAATCAGATGGCCATCGTTGTTCTGGTGTTTGGTCTCGGAAAGTAGCCCAGGCTCCCAGTTCCACGCCTCCACAAAGAAGCCGGCGCCTGCGCGCGAACATGGGAGTCCCTTCAGGACTCAGGAGTTACAGTGCCCTTTTGGGGTGGTTCTCTTGCTTCCAGAAACGAAAGGGGATCACCTTTTAGGGCCACTAAATACTTTAAAATGGATCAAATCCGGGAAACTAAAAACTCAAAAGGCTTGGGCAAAGGGTTTGAAAGCGGAATCCGAAGCCCCCAAAATCATTTTGATTTTGGGGACTCCCTCATCTGACACCCTTTGCTTTGGCTTCTGCAAGCCCGAGAAACACCCCCCCAACTGGGACTACCCTATGGGCACCCTCAACCACAAACCACGGAAATGTGCAGGGTCCCCTTGTTCCCTTGCAATCTTTAGGGCGTCCCCCAATTGCCACAACCCTGTTAAATTGTCTCACGCTTGGCCAAATGAAGTGAGGCCTGCCTTCCACCCCACTTCCCCCTGCCCGCTTGGTCGCTGACCGGACAAACTCGGACGAAACCCAAACACGCACAGACTGAGGTCAAAACCCCGAAAGTCACCCAGATCGATCCCCAGCCCGAGCACCTCGTGCTTTGGGCGCCGGGGCGAGCAACAGCGTCAGGTCCTCTCCATTCGGCTTTGGAGGAAAGCCGGTCGCAAAAATATGTCCAGTGATAAAGTATCTCTGCAAAACGAAAGGACGGAAAGAAGAAAAACAAACTCAGAAAATGGAAGACTATCGGCGTCGCCGCTTCCCCCAATCCAAACCACCTGAGGGTTACCTGAACAGTCAGTGATACCGTTTGGGGTCGATTCAATCCCTGTACGGGGGGCTCTTGAAGTGCATATCCAAATAAGAGCCCATACCTATGACACGGGGAATTCCCCTTCACATATGGCACGTGTGGATAGACCTAACGCTTTGGAATACCTTCTCAACCTGTTGTTCAAGAGGATTCCCAATCACAACTGGCTACCTGTGACCTAAACCCAACTGCTGGCGAATAAGTTCTCAGCCAGGTGGGTACACTCAGACCTCAGGCTTCGCTTGAATCACAGAACGGGCATTCAATGAACCCCTGAAACAAACAAAAGCAGCACCAAGGCCTGTTTTTTCCCAACTCCCTGGGACGCCCTGTGGACCATACTTCGGATCTTGAACATGGGAATGGGGGGGGGGCTAAAAAATGCATTCCTACAAATCCAGCTCGCTTTGATGCATACCCAGATTTCAAAAATTTCATGCAGCCGGTCGGCGCAACCTGTACCTCCGCTGGATTCGTGGGCATGCTTTTGTAGAACTGGTAGCTTTAGCTCCCTCTTTGACGGCCAACTCGGATAGCTCCCTTCCAACCTGCTGCCAGTGTCCATGGCCATCCTTTTTCCTTCGAACTGCCGGCAGATTCTCCGGCGCGACGCCAGATCGCACATTCCCCGGGATCATCGCCGCGGGGAACGGGACACAAACGCCGCCTTGACTGGCTCCGTCGGTTCCAAGAGCCCTTTGTGTGAGTGTTGATCGTTCTTCTTTTTGCGTCGTGCTGTCTGTGCGTTTTTGTTTGGTGTGTGTTTTGTTGTTTTGTGTTTTTGTTTTTTGCGTTACATGTCACGTTGGCTTTCGTGTCGGTTGGTTTGTTGATTGTTGTGTTGACTTGTGTGTTGTTGTGTTTGTGTTCAATTGTGCCCCACTTCTCACACTGCATTCTTTGGGTGGTGTTCCAAGACCTAAACCAGGGCTGCCTGGGAAATGCTCAAAGAATGGTTGGGATTTATTGAGCCAAGGTTCCCCTTCCCAGGAGCTTGGCGTTTTGTAATTAGAAGCTTCTGGATTTTTGCTTAGGGCATCCCATTCTAGCCTGTTCGGGGGGGCCGAATCACAATCCGTAGTCCGCTTAATCTGCGCATTAACTGGTAAACCCCCTAATCCGTAACCCGCGCGGCTTCTTGCCATTCCAACCCCCGGGCAGGGCTATTCAAAATCCATGCTCCAAAGCAATATCCCTAGTCACCACCCGTTCGAAGTAACCCGCCCGCGGCCCCAAAAAGGAAGAAACGGTTTGGAGCTGAGCATGGGCCACTTCACTGCAAAAGCAGTTCTGCCTTCACTCAGTTTAGCTTGATGATGATGATGATGATGATGTCGGGCGGCGTAGGTGGCTTGTTCCATGCCTACAACAAGCTCAGCGTGGACCACGATCCGATTCCGCGCGCCGAGCCGAAAACCCCGAAAAGACCTAAGGTTGAAAGTCAAGCAAAACACCCAGCACCCGAAAAAAGATCGGAACATTGCTGGGGGGGGGGGGGGTAGGGTGGCTCCCGTACGGCGACCCAGGTACCTGAAGAGAATAGACGGGCTGGAAGGTCTCCCCAACAACACACTCAAAGAAAAGGGTCTACCTTCGTCGGCTCGACTGTGGGTCCGTCGCTCGTAGCTGACGGCCCTCTCCCCGACCCGGGGTCGTGCCCCGCATGGGTCGCCTGCTGAGTCCGACTTCGAAGGCAGCCCTAAACCATTGTTAGGGTTACCTCAACGTGGGGGAAAAACCGACGACCAACATACCGAAACACGATGCAACAAGATAGGCCTCGTTGATCTCACGGATCCATAGCGGCGTCGGAGTCCGCGGCACCTTTGCCCTTGCCCGCCCCTCGGCCTTTGCCTTTGCCTCTTCCCTTCTTGCCCTTCTGACCTTTCTGTTTTCCTTTTCCCTTTGCTCGAGCAGCTCGCACTTTGGGACCCTTATCGGGATACAGCTGGATGCCGTTGGGAGGGTCAACCATACGGGAGAGAACATAGAGCATCCAATTCGCTTCAGATCGGACCCGGTCGAAGACGAGCCTGGCGGGTTCCCCCCGAGAGAGGATGAGGCACATGGCGCCTGAGCGATCTTTTCGCACCCAGTCGAGAATGCCATCGAAGCGCAGGCCTTGCAAGCAGCTCCGTCGGGACTCGGCATTCCCGATCCCGCGCTTTCCCTGCGACAACAACATGGCTTTCGCTTGCACTGCCTCCTCAGTCCACTCAGCGCGGGCAATCCCGTCAAGCTCCTCGTGGAGCGCCTGTACCACCTTTGCTTTGATCTCGGAAGCTGGGATTTCCCCTGACTCAAAGACTCCAGATGCCGGCGATCCCCACTGAGTGTTCCACCCGCAGGTGGCGGTAGGCCTCCTGAAGCTCCACAGTGTACTCAACCTTGTCAACCCGTTGCTCCAAGGCATCGAGCCGCTCATTTATCTCCTTAAGCTGCGAGCGTAGCACTCCATTCCCTTGTCGGCGGGCGGGCACGGCCATGGTGCCGTTACGAGGGCAAGTGCTATTAGCAACAGACGAACCAACATGGCTGCGACAAACCTGCGATGTTTGACTCCTGCCTGGGAAAAGCCTGGTGTGTTTGAACGTGGTTTTACATTCCGCGACCTCTTTTGGGAGAGCTGAAATTAAACCTGCTGCCAAAGCCTCATGTGGATGCGAGTACCGCTCATGATTCTTACGCGCCTGAACAGACCCCAACACCTTCTCGCAAAGAGGCACTTTTTGTTAGCGTCGCCCGGCCCCCGACAAAGCGGCCTATGTTGTCCGATATCAGTGGGCCTAAAGTCCGCCAAGCATTTGTCACACTGCGTGCGCGTTGGCGCCGCCCGGCGTTTGGCCACTGGCGGCGGCGGCGCCGGGACCGAGGCACTGTGCTCCACGCACCGCAATGTGGAGAGACCCGACCCGCCGTTCCGCGGGCAGCAAGCCGGTCCGCAACCTCATTTCCGTGCGCACCGCTGTGGCTCTTGACGTGGTGGAATTCCAAAGAGATCAACCTCCGGACTCGACTGACCAGACCGGCCACGGTGTCTGCCAGGCTGTGATTCTCCGTAGGGTGGCACAGCCTTGTTGCGACGCCAAAAGCGTAAGTACTATCATAGAACAGATGCGCTGCGCGTAGGTTCTGGGGCCGGAGGGCATCCATCGTGTTCAAGAGACGAGTCAAGTCAGGGACCATGTAACCCCGGATTGCGGCCAAGTCACGGGAAGCAGCTTGTTTGGGGTTACCACTCCAAAAACAGTTCTGCACTCAGCTTTGCTTCACAAGCAAGGAGCAAAGTAACCCCGCATTGGGGCCAAGTCAGGGGAAAGGGGTTGCTTTGGACATGGATTGCTGAGGGCCACTTCGCTGCAAAAGCAATTCTGCCTTAACTCAGCCTTGCTTGACAAGTAAGGTCGGATGGAGGCCAAGTCATGGGAAGGGCTTGTTCGGGGAAACTTTGGCTGCTACTGGTTTGGAGCTCTGCGCGGGCAACTTCACTGCAAAAGCAGTTCTGCCTTGCCTCAGTCTTGCTTGACAAGTAAGCAACAAAGTAACCCCGGATTTAGGCCAAGTCACGGGAAAGGGCTTGTTCGGGGTTACTTTGGATGTGGATGGCTGCTACTGGTTTGGAGCTCTGTAAGGCCATTTCACTACAAAAGCAGTTCTGTCCTGCCTCAGTTTTGCTTGACAAGTCAGGAGCAAGGTAACCCCGGATTGGGGCTAAGTCACGGGAAAGAGATTGTTCGGGGTTACTTTGCACATGGATGGCGGCTACTGCTTTCTGTAAGGGCAACTTCACTGCAAAAGCAGTTCTGCGTTGCACCAGTTTGCTTGACAAGTAAGAAACAAAGTAACCCCGGACCAAAAGCAGTTCTGCCTTGAACCAGTTTTGCTTGACAAGTCAGGGACCAGGCAACCCGGATTGGGGCCAGCCATGCACAACTCCAGGTCCAGCAATGATTGCGCAGCCATTGCTCACCCGGATGACGCAGCTGTTGATCAACAACACCACTCCTACGGAGACCATTTTGCAGATCATGCAGCTGATTGCAACGGAGATGGCGCAAACGCCTATGCCGGGCGAATCCTCACAGCATTGGCGCCGCAAGTGCGCCCATGCCATCAATGCCACAACACCTTGTGCCTCAGGACCAGGTGCAGGGACTGCGCCTTGTTCTTTGACCTGTGCCATCCATGTCCAAAGTCCCTGAGCAAGCCCTGGCCTAAATCCGGGGTTACTTTGTTCCCTACTTGTCCAGACTGAGGCAAGGCAGAACTGCTTTTGCAGTGAAGTGTCTCTTGCAGAGCAGCAATCCACGGCCACCATTTGGAAAAAATATGAGTGGAGAGGTCCGTTTGCATGGCTTGTGGTCAGCCCAACTGGTTTTGCACTGAAGTGGGCCTGACAAAGCTCAAACCAGTACCAGGCATCCACGACTGGATGGAAAAGTGACCCCTATACCTTATATCCAAGAAGGTTACCCCCAAAAAACCGCCCGGATCATTCGCGCACCCCACCTGCGATCACTTGGGCACCTCGCCGGCCAAAATGGACCGCGGATCACTTACGCACCCCAGATTTCGGATCACTTGCGCACCCAGATGCCCAAAACGCAGGGAAAAGTGCATTTCGACCGCCGGCCCTTGACCCGACAACCCCAAGAAACGGATCACTCGGGCACCTCACGGGGCGCTCAAGCGATCCAAAACGGGGTGCCTAAGCGAGCCGTTTTCGGGGTGCCTAAGCGAACCCGCGCCCCTTTTCTGAGTCATGTTAGCTTCCCTCGAAAACCGTCCCGTTGAGAATCTCAGTAGACAAACCCGCCGT